CCCGTGTGGGGGGGTGATCTCTTGATTTCTTGCTTTCTGTCTCTCTGTCTCTGTCTCTCTTTCTGGCAAGCACATGCCCTATAGCAAAAACCTCTAAAATTAAAAAAAAAAAAGAAAAAAGAAAAGAAAAGAAAGAAAGAAAGAAAAAATGGGGCCCAAGAGGGACTTAGGTTCCAATCCAGTGAGCAACTGCCCGATCCAGACCTTGCCTCCTCACCTATAAACAGCTGGTGACGCCTGCGTGCCGCCTCTGATGCAGAGTTAGAATCCCGGCTGTGAGGAGCCAGGTGCGGCCCCTGCCCCCAGCAGGTGCTCAGTCGCCGTTTGCTGGCTGACCGCAGTGCCCGTCTCCAAGTGCTACTGCTACTGTCCATGCACACTGCCTAGATTGCTTGATGTTGAACTCCCAGGGCTCTCGTGCACACTTTCTCTTGTCCTTCTCCCTGAAACCCCCAGAGGGGGCTGGGCCAGGCTGGGCTGACCAGGCGGAATGCCTCCGATGAGGGAGAGTGAGCAGTATAGAAGCATTCCCAGACTTCGGGGCAGGAGGCCTGGCTCTGTCTTTCCTGGCACGTGAGCTCAGGGAGAGCTGCTCTTTCCTCTGCAAAACGGACCATCACACCCACCACCGAGACAGCAGTGGGAAAGGGCCGTGGGCGCTGAGTCCTCCACAGCCACACTGCCCCTGTGAAGGATTACTTGGCTCCGAGACCTCTCGGCCCTCGTCCAAGGTTGCACAGCACGATCACGGCACCCGCCTACACTCCCAGCTCCCTGCTGGTGACAGCTCCCCCCGGCCAAGTGCCAGCAGAGGACAGGCACACAGTGAGGGCTTCAAAGTGTTTACACTTATGTTCTTTCATTCTCTCATGAAAAAGAGAGCGAGAAGGAGAGAGCGAATGGCGTAATGGTTACGTTGCTGGACTCCCACATAGTCGACTGCGGTTCGAGTCCTGGACCCGATGGCTTAAAACTCACGCTGGGCGCGTGTGTGTGCATGCCCAAGATCCCGAGAGGAGAATGGAGGAGAAGGGATTGCGGTGTGGCCATCCCACCTGGGGGGTGATTTCTCGCTTTCTGTCTCTCTGTCTCTCGCTGTCTCTCTGATGAGGACACAAACCCTATAGCAAAAACCCCTCTCTACAAAAAAAAAAAAAAAAAAGTAGAAGGGGCTGGCAGGTGGCATGGTGGTTAAGGATGCTGAACTCCCACGTGGGCAACCGTGGTTCGATTCCCAGCCCTAGTGGCTTTTTTTTTTTTTCTCTCTCTCTCCCTCTCCCTCTCTGGTCAAATTAAAATAAATACATAAAGTTAAATTTTAAAAAATATTTAAAAAAAAAAAAAAACAGACAGGCATCCCCAGCAGGGCTTCACTGTGCTCTGCACGTCTCCGGCCTCCAGCCTGCAGGGCTCACAGGTGCATATGGCCACGCCTGCGTGTTGAGGTTGACCCACGTCTGAACTCAGGCGTGGAGTGGTTCTGAGGGCCCATGTGGGATACCAGGCCTGGTAACCACCCGGGAGGTACATGCCCCACTTCACTGGTGAACAAGCAGACTGAGGCCCAGAGAGGCCCAGTGGGCCCCCAGGGTCACACAGGCAGGGAGAGGACCCTCTGCCACCCACAATGCGGGGAGACCCACTGTACTTCCCTGCACCCCGAGGAGACCCGCCTGCCCTTCCCCTTCTCTCCCCTCTCGTTGCATGATGGTGGCAGTTGCCATTCCCAGCAGCTCAGGTGGCTACAAACCTAACCCAGCCCAAGGGCCCCCTGCGTGGCCATCCCAAGGCACGGTGTGACCGGCCCAGGAGGGAACGCTAACGGGCTCCTGCTGGCAGCGTGAGTGGCCACCATGCCTCAGCGGGCTCCCTGGAGTCAAGTCAGCATAGGCCACCAGCAGGGCTGTGCGTGGCAACAGGGTGCAAACCCCGCTCCCCTGGGCTTCCAGGGGCCGGTCCAAGGAGAGCAGCTTGTGGAAAGGGAGAGAAGCCAGCACACATCATGTGTCCACCACGCCAGCCCCTCTGCTGGCAAAAATCCCAGGGCTATCTCACGACACAGCTGACCAGACTAAGGCTCAGAGAGGCCAAGGTGCTTTCCTAAGGTCACACAGCAGAGGCTGGATTCAAAACGAGGTCTTTCCAATTCCAGAACCCGAAAACTTTCTCTTATCTTCTCTCTCAGTGCCCAATGCTTCTGAAACTACTGTAGGGCTCCATTGAGGAAGCAGACAGGCACCGAGAGACTTCCCGTCCACAGAGCACAGGGGAGCGGCAGGGAAAACAGAATTCCCGTGAACCGGAGCAGCGGGTGCTGTATCCCTAATCCCTCCTCCTCATTCACCACCGTTACACCCTATGAGAACGCTCTCCTATACACTGGGTGACACAGCAGGGTGCCCCTGGGTTTCCCAGTCTTCAGGGTCTCTACTGAAGAGCCAGGACAGGGGCACCACCCGCCATTCCTCTCTTCCCGTTATCTCCCATGCTCCCCCTCTGTAACGTGGGGCTCGAGGCTCTGCTCACTGGGCTGCGGACCCGGACACAGTAACGTTCCCCGCAGGGCACGAGTGAGAAAATAAGAAGCCATGGTGTCACCTGAGCATGTCCTGCATGCTCGCCACGCTCACTGCAGTGGGTACTTGGGTTTGTTTTTTTTTTTTTTTTGAGAGAGAGAATTTTGCTATAGGGCACATGTGCTTGCCAGAGAGACAGAGACAGAGAGACAAAATCCAAGAAATCAGTCACCCCCACCGTGGGATGGCCACCCCACAGTCCTTTCTCCTCCATTCTCCTCTCGGGATTCTAGACACACGTGCGCACGTGCCTGGTGTGAGTTTCAGGTCACTGGATCCGGGACTCGAACCGCAGTCGATCACGTGGGAGTCCAGCGCCCTAACCACTAACCACCTGCTGGCCCGTGCAATGGGTATTTTACAGAAAGGCTCTCTCCTAATCCCTTCAACCACAAGGAAGCCTCCGGTTGCCGATGAGGTAACTGAGGCTCGTGGGCACGCCGCAGTCACGTAGGCCGATGGGATTCGAACTCCGACGGGCCCAATGTTGGCTCTTATGAGAGGTGATACTGTTACCACCAAGGCCAGTCTGTTTGCACAGTTGTAAATTACTGGGAAGGTCTGGAGCTCCCGGAGAGAAACGAACAGGCTCTGGGAGCCCCCATGTGCTGACTTGCCTACTGGCCTGCAAGGAGCTGCTGGTTCTGCCTGGGACCCGGACTCTTCCAGTGGCCCACGCACCTCGGCCTCAGCGATTCTGTGCTCCCCAAGGAGCCGGGAGCTGGCAGACCTTCCCTGGGTACCACTTGGCCCTATTACTTTGCTTTTGACCCACAGTTTTCCAGAAGCTTCTGCAGGGTGTCTCTTGAAAGTGCTGTTGTCTGTTCCTTGGGACTGAACTGGACTTGCAGACCTTTGGCCGTGTGTCTTTGGCCACGCCTCCTACTTCCCTACCTGAAGCTAGCCCGTGGCAGAGGAGGCTCCTGGGCTTGGGGGCTGTGAGTGGCCAGAGGTCATGTCAGTTCTGGATTCAAACCCAGATCTGCTGTGTGACCCCGAGCCAATCACCTCCCCTCTCTGGACTGCTTCCCTTCTCTCAGCCAGCTTGAAAATTAGAGTGACTGCTTAGCACATGAGGGCCTTGCAAATTACCCAGCCTCCTGCTTGGCCCCGTGCAAAGAGACCAGTCCAGGTCCCCCAGGGGTGGGTGGTCAGATGCTGCTCGGTCACTTGCTGTGTAGATGGCAACTCCCCATCCCAGTGCAGGAGAGGCTTGGAAAGGCCCGGGGCTCAGCACCACGTGGACCTGCCTGCCTGGGGTCTGAGGGCCTCCCATCAGATGCAGCCCGAGCATCGGTGTCCTCATCTTGGGCCAGGCTCACTCCTCAGCCCCCTCCGGCGAGGACTCAGTGGGAACGCTGCATGCTGAGCACTGGCTAGGCCTTCTCCCTGCCTCTCCTTGTGCCCCAGAAGGTGGCCTCGGTGACCCCTGTTTTGTCTGTGAGGTCCCCAGGGCTGAGGGAGGACAGTGACTTACCCAGGATCTCGAGGGCGGTAGGTAGCAGGGTTAGGGCCAGGGCTGTGGTTCCTGTCCCCACCTCGGCCATTCAGAGACTGCCTCTCGGTCACTGGGAGAACGGGGAGAGGACACTGGCAGAACTGCATCTGGACCCTCGGGCACGTGCACCCCGGGTTCCTCGGTCTGCAAAACTCTTTGGCTCTTTCCTTGTAAGTTAGAGAAAATAGTTTTTTTGTTTCTTGTCAGAGAAAGTTCTCTTTTCTCTCCTCCGTGCCAAGTCTCTGCTGGGGACTCTACGGACTTCGTCTCATTCCAGGACAACCTTCATGGCAGGGCCCCAGCACGAAACCTCTGCTTCTCGTTTCATGAGAAAGCTGTGGCTCAGGGAGGTGACGTCAGGGACCCGAGATCTCACAGCTGCAAGGAAAGCAGACACGAGATGGGTCCGACTGCCTGGGTTCACGTCCTGCCTCCCTGTTTACCGAGCTTGGGCAAGCTCGACTTCTCTGAGAAGCCTCAGCTTTCTCATCTGTGAGATGGGTTGTGAGAACTGTCAGAGGATCACTGCGAAGCGCTTGGCTCAGGACGTGGTACTCGGGAACACTAGATAAATTACCACTGTTTGTGACTTGGCACAGCTGGGGTTGATTTAAGTGTCTGTTTATCGCTAGAAGGCAGTATGCTTACCAGAGAAAGGAAGAGAAAGCACCCACGGAGGGGCATGGTCACGCCACCATCCCTGCTCCAGGCCTCCATCCTGATAGGATTTGGGGCACACATACATGTGTGCCTGGTGTGCTTTTCAAGCCACCGGGGCCAGGATTCAAACCCTAGTTGGCCACATGGGATCCAGCTCCCCTAACCACTAGGTCGCACAGCCAGCCCGAGCTGGACTTGAAATCCTGGCCCCCTGAGTCCCTCCTGCCCAACTGACTCCACTTGCCCATTTCTCTGTGTCTCTGCAGGGTGTGCGACAGCCCAGGGCGGGGCGGAGGATGAAGGCGAGGCAGAGGCGGGTTGGATCGAGGGGGCTGCCATCCTCCTCTCGGTCATCTGCGTGGTCCTGGTCACAGCTTTCAATGACTGGAGCAAAGAGAAACAGTTCCGGGGCCTGCAGAGCCGCATCGAGCAGGAGCAGAAGTTCACCGTGGTCCGGGCTGGCCAGGTGGTGCAGATCCCTGTGGCCGAGATCGTGGTCGGGGACATCGCCCAGGTCAAATATGGTGAGTTTGTCAGCTGCAAAGGCAGGTGCTCAACCCAGGGCCTGGGCAGAGCTGAGACAGGCCAGGCAGATGCAGAGAGGCCGGCCCAGGGAAGCGGTGCTCCCTGACGGCTGATCACAAGCCAAAGTGCCTTCTAAGGTCCTTTGAACAAGGGAAGGGAACTTCCTGGAAAAGGGAGGGTACCAGAATCTATTTAAATAAGAAATGGCAAGTATTGGGTCATCCGAAAAGTCATGATGCTGTTTTTCTATGTGTTTCTATGCAAAAATTCATCTAGACTTTTCCAACAACTCAATACATGGTACACGTATCACCTCTCTCCATTCTCCCACCCGGAGCAGGCATTACTAATCAATCACAGCTCAGAACCTGGATACAGCCTTAGAAGCCTTCTCAACTCAGCACTCCAAGGTCCGCTCATACTAGAACAGGTTCATGAGAGGAAGTCCATTCTCTCCACCTGATTTGGTTATTGATAGATGGCTGGAGGGCTGCAGGAGGCAGATACGTGGTGAATAGTCTACGTCTGTAATATTTCCATGGAAAAAGGGGGCAGGCTAGCACCAGAGGGGGTTGGGCCAGGTATGCCCTGGGTAAGGAGAGGCAGAAGGTAGAGAAGAAATTAGAGTGTCCTTCCTCACTCAGCCCTGGAAGGCTCGATTTCCCCCGACAACACGCCTTGCAGGGAATGTCCTCAGCTTAGCCAGGGTAGACTGGTCCCATCTAAGAGATGTCCCCCAACCATACGGAGACTAGAGAAGAATGAATCAGTAGGAAAACTAGGCCCTGATCCCCAGCCGGGCCGAGGGAAGTGCTTGCCTGAGCAAGGACTGCTCTTGGGCCCAATCTCAGCCCTCCAGCCTCTTGCCACTCACCTTGGGCCCCATCTTGGGCCCATTGACCAAGGTCAGGCACTCTCTGGTCCCTGTGCCCCAAGAGCTCCAGCATCCGTTCCGCCATGGTAAACATCCCCCCTCATCCCACCTTTGAGAGATGTTCCAGCCTCTCCAGTCACCTGCGTCCCTGCCCTTCCTCCCGCCAGGCGACCTCCTCCCAGCTGACGGCCTCTTCATCCAGGGCAACGACCTCAAGATCGACGAGAGCTCCCTGACGGGGGAGTCCGACCAGGTGCGCAAGTCCGTGGACAAGGACCCCATGCTGCTGTCAGGTGAGCTGCGGCCAGTGGTGGGCTCAGCCCAGTTGCCGGTCCCTGCCCCCACGTGGCTGGCACGCCTCGGGGGGTCCTCTCCATGAGGCTGACAGGTCTCAGACACCCCGGTCCTGAGCTGTGGGGTTTCTGGCCAGCTCAGCCCTCACAGGTACCCCTGCTGGCCCCTAGCGAACACACCGCGAGCCTGCCCGTGCCCAGCACCACCCGGGCCAAGGGGGGACCACAACAGTGAGGGCACAGAGTCCCTGCCATTCTCGTCCATTCTGGTGCTGACGATAGAAAACGCCTGCAGCTGGGTGATTCATGGGAACAGGGGTGTTTTCAGCTCACGATTTGGAGGCCCGAGTCCAGGGCCTGCATCTGATGAAGGGCCTCTTCTGCCTGCCTCGCAACGCGGCCGAGGGCAGGTGCGTGCGTCTGCATCTGCATGTCTGTTTTGTTCCCGCTCCTAACTCACGGGGGCACCACCCTGATGCCCGGAATTCCAAATCCCAAAGGTTCCGCCTTCCTGCGGCATCGTTGGTTAAGTTTTACCCTCAGTCGTGGCACAACCAAGTTCCAGCTCATGAGTTTGGGGTCACCCTTGCACCCTGGTACCTGGGCTCTTGGGACTGACCTTCTATGGACTTGTTTGGCTGAGGAGCAAACACCAAAGCCTGTTCTCCTCGGGAGTGGAAAAAACCAGCCAGGTGACTGACCTCAGGCCCCTCTGGGTGCCAGCCCCTGGCTGGTTCTAGGCTGTAGCCATAAATAGAGACGATCGGACCATGCCCCGAGGAGCGTGAGGTCGGGGGAGGAGAGCGAGGGGGAATGTCCAGAGGTCACAGGTGTATGAACAAAACCAAAGGGTGGTCCTAGCCACGAAAGCACGTGCCGGAGGTGCTGCCCCTGGGTTTAATTCCTGCCCCATCCTAAAAGCCGAGCATGGCGGTGCCAGCCTGAAGTCCCAGCTGTTCAGGAGACTGAGGCAGGTGGACCCCAAGCTCGAGGTTAGCGTGGACAACCAAGTGAGACCCAATCTGAAAATCGAAAATAAATAGGACATGGACCAGCAGATGGCACAATGGTTACGTCGCTGGACTCCCACGTAGTCGACCATAGTCCAAGTCCTGGACTCGGCAGCTTAAAACTCATGCCAGGCGTGTGTGCGTGCGTGCCCAAGATCCCGAGAGGAGAATGGAGGAGAAGGGATTGCAGCGTGGCCATCCCCCCTGGGGGGTTGATTTCTAGCTTTCTGTCTCTCTGTCTCCAGTGAGTGCACATGCCCTATAGCAAAAACCTCTCTTAAAAAAAAAGAAAGAAAGAAACATGACAATAGATGTAAGTGGCAGGGAGGACAGGAGTGGCTTCTCTGGGCAGTGACGTTAGGAGCCGAGTGTGAGGGAGGAGGTGGAACAACCCCGGGACGGTCTAGGGTGAGCACACACCGGAGTAGGGGCCGCACCAGCTGGCTCTGAGGATTAGGTGAGGGTAGAGCGGCCGCCACAGACCTCATAGGCCACACCCAGCAAGTCGGAGGTTATCTAAGTGTGACAGGACCTCTTCGGAGTGGTTTTCAGCAGAGGCCTGATGGCATTTCCCTGTTTAGAAGCTCACTCTGGCTGCTGCAGGGAGTGAGAGAGGAGATGAGAGCTCCGGGAGAGGCACCCTACCCCCAGGGACACCCAAAAGGCTTATCGTCCATCAGTGCTCAGCAAACATCCCTGGGGCAGCTGTTCTGGGCCCCACCACTGCTGAGCCCTGGACCCCGAGCCCCCAGATGGGATTCAGACCCAACCCCTGCCCCTCAGGAGCCCTCGGCCTAGAGGGGCGCAGTGGAGCAGACCCCAGACAGCTGATTCCACCATGGAGGTGTAGGGCGAGCGTGCCCACAGAGCCAGGAAGGAAGCAGAGCTCCCAGAGAGCTGAGCAGGGTTTTAAGGGGTGAATAGGAGCTCACCAAGTTAAGCCATGGAGAAGGCGCTCCCAGGTGAGGCACCCGCGTGCAGAGGCACACGTCTGAGGGTGAGCAGACACAAGGGGCAGTCCACACCTGTGGCAGGAGGGCAGAAAGGGGCGAGAATCCAGGCCGGCCACCTGCCCTGCAGAATCCACTCAGCCAGCCTTTGCTAAACACCTACTGTGTGTGCGGTGCTTGAGAAAAACAGGCTCCTGCTGTCCTGGAGGCTTCAGTGAAGCAGAGCCAGACAGGAACCTACGAGCTACTTCCAGATAATGGTCGTGCATGCCACGATGTCACTCCTCTGTCATGGGATTCAGAGACCCAGCAGAAGGGGGTGGGAATCTTCATCAGCCAGGGTAGGCATGTCTGAGGAGGTTGCATTAGACCTAAAACCAGAGCAGTGAGGAGAAAGAGCCTTCTGGGCGGAGGGATGCATGTGCAAAGGCCCTGGGGTCTTCCCCGAAGTTTGGGGCGGCCTCAGATGCTGTCCTGGATCACAGGGCTGCCTGGAAGAGCTCAGGAACTAGCCGTGGCCCTGTGGGCCTGGCCCTGACCTCTGGGACAAAGTGGTTGACAGGCAGACATGCATCTTGGGGGACGTGGCCAGCCGAGTCGTCTGGACCTGCAGAAGCTTGGGGGGGGCGGGGGGAGGTGGGCCTTAGAGGACAGGCGGTGAAGTGCCCAGGCACTTTGGAGAAGGTGGAGGAGGGCGCGTGCCAGCAGGAGGCTGGGAAAGGGAGAACGCGGGCCCAGCAGTCTCACAGATCAGCCTAGAAGGCAGGCCCAGGTGCAGAGAGACCCTGGAAAAGATGCGAGCAGAGACCAGGAGGCTGCCTCCAGCCTAGGAGGACTCAGACAGTAGCGGGTTCTCAGAGCGGGGACAGGAGCGCCCGAAGACAACACAGGAGCCAGCAATAAAACAGTCCAGGAGGCAGCTCAGGGTAAGAAGCAGAAGAGGGATGGGGCCAGCAGGTGGCGTGGTGGGTGAGGTGCTGGAGCCCCACCTTTCTGAGCACGGTTCAAGTCCTAGACTTGGTGACTTGAAAATCATGCCAGGTATGTATGGAGAAGGGACTGCAGTGCGGCCATCGCCCCTGGGGGTGATTTCTCACTTTCCCTCTCTCT